ATGATATTCTCATGGCCTCAGATAATGGACTTGTATCTGTGCTCGTCCTGTTGGATCTTAGTGCTGCATTTGATACAGTTGACCATAATATTCTTTTAGAAAGACTTGAATATTTTGTTGGAATTAAAGGAACAGCACTAGACTGGTTTAAATCTTATCTATCTGATCGAATTCAGTTTGTTCATGTTAATGATAGATCTTCAACACGCTCAAAGGTTACCTGTGGAGTACCACAGGGATCAGTGCTAGGACCAATTCTCTTTACTTTATACATGCTCCCAATTGGTAGAATTATTAGACAGCATGGATTAATTTCCACTGTTATGCTGATGATACCCAGCTATATCTGTCTATAAATCCAGATGAAGCTAACCCATTACATAGATTACAGGCATGTCTTGAAGACATAAAAACCTGGATGACTCTTAACTTTCTGCTTCTGAATGCAGACAAAACAGAAGTTATAGTCTTTGGACCAGAGTCTCTGAAAAAGAAACTGATTAGCCAGTCACTTCATTTGGATGGGATTAAACTGATTTCAGATAATAAAGTAAAAAATCTTGGTGTTGTTTTTGATCAGGACCTGTCATTTAAATCCCACATCAAAGAGGTTTCTAGAATTTCCTTCTTTCATCTGAGGAACATTGCAAAAATTAGAAATATCCTGTCCAGGGGTGATGCTGAGAAACTAGTCCATGCATTTGTTACTTCAAGGCTGGACTATTGTAATTCTTTACTATCAGGAAGTCCACAAACTGTAGTTAAAAGCCTTCAGCTGATCCAAAATGCTGCAGCCAGAGTTCTAATGAAAATTAAAAAGAGAGATCATATCTCGCCTATCCTGGCTTCTCTTCATTGGCTTCCTGTTAAATCAAGAATAGAATTTAAAATCCTCCTTCTCACATATAAAGCCTTAAATGGCCAAGCTCCATCTTATATCAGAGATCTGATTGTTCCTTATGTTCCTAACAGAGCACTTCGCTCTCAATCTGCAGGTTTACTAGTGGTTCCTAGAATTTCTAAAAGTAGAATGGGAGGCAGATCTTTTAGTTATCAGGCTCCTCTCCTGTGGAACCAACTACCAGTTTTAGTCCGTGAGGCAGACACCCTGTCTACTTTTAAGTCTAGGCTTAAAACTTTCATTTTTGATAAAGCTTATAGTTAGGGTGGCTCAGGTTATCCTGAGCTATCTCTATAGTTATGCTGCTATAGGCTTAGACTTTTGGAGGACATAGGGACCCCCATTTCATCATTCTGCTTCATTCTCTCTCTGTTCTCCTATTCTGCAGAATCTGTTAGTTCAATCTCTAACCTTCTGCTCTCTCTGCTTTTCCTCAGAGTAGCTTTGCCTCGTCTGTTCCTGTTTGGCTGTGACGTCATCCTGGAAAAAAATATCAGCTGTGCTGCTTCTATCAACACCCTTGTTAATAGATGTTGGAGATCGGCCTGTTTTCCAGTGTGGTCCTGTTTCTCTGACCGTGACTGAGTGGATGTGCTCTCTTCGTCCTCTGGCATGGGAGCTGCCTCGGAGCTCGTCTGCCTGGCTGTGTGTTTCCTGGACGGGGCCGCCTTTTACAGCTGCTTTTTGTATCTCTGCTTCTGTCTCCTTGAACCCCAGTCGGCCTCGGCAGATGGCCGCTCACACTGAGCCTGGTTCTGCTGGAGGTTTCTTCCTGTTAAAAGGGAGTTTTTCCTCTCCACTGTCGCTACAAGCATGCTTAGTTTGGGGGATTGTATTTGAGTCAATGAGTCAATGCAATCAACTGGTTTTCCTTAGATAGAAAACTTTGTATCAATTTGATCTGGTTGAACTGTAAAGTGCCTTGAGATGACATGTGTTGTGAATTTGGCGCTATATAAATAAACTGAATTGAATTGAATTGAACCAAACCACCCTCTTCCATTTTTGTTGTCCTGTATACGGCAAAACAGAAAGCAGCACTCATTAAAAAGACTTTTATCAAAGATCCTTTCTTTGGGCCACTCTTTGTGGAATGCACAGCTAATAGTTGTTCTGTCAACAGATTGTCCCACCTGAGCTATGGATCTTTGCAGCTCCTCAAAAGTTACCATCTATTGACTCATTTTCTGTTTCATGCCCTCCTTTCTCATCCATGGATTTAACCGGATTGTGTTTTTCCAGTTGGTGTTTGTCCAACAGCTGAAATTATAATGAGCACAAGTGGATTCAGTTTACTATTGAGAGACTATTTAAAACAACATAAGGACAGATTTCTTGTGCTACACAAAAAAATCAAGTGAAAATAAGTACACTTCATATTTTTAAGATTCTGACATGTAAAGGTTTGGAATCTGTTCACACTTCACAAATATGCAATAGCTAGTATTGGGCTATTGGTCTATTGCATAGCATCCCAATAACGGTATTTTATTATTCTAGTGTAACAATGCATTATGGACAGACAAGTAATCACATTTGCAATACAATCTCAATTTTACCAAGACACATTTTCAAAATCCCAGAGTGCCTCAACTATTGGTCTTGTTACATATCAAAAGAGGAAGGCACTTCATTTCTTCCACTTCAAGTCTTACAGTTGGTTTACAACCACTCAGAAGAGAGTAGTTATACTGTAGCTACCACATATATTCATGCATACAAGCAGTAGTAAACCACTAAAGTCCTCAGACAATAGGCTCTGTACATTAAAGAATTCAAAGCCATGACAGTGAGAAGGCAAACATGTATGTTCTTGTAGTGAATACAGAAGAAAATTGAAATTGCAGTTCTACAAAAAGTTGCATTTTTCATTTTTGGCCAAATGACACTGCCCTGATTATGTAAACGTTAAATAGGTATAAATGCATTTCTAATGCATGTTACCTGTAGGAAGAAGAGGGGAAATAACCTTAAAATGTGTTTTCTGTGTAATTAGTATTTTTCACTTATTTAGCAAGCCAAGGAAAGAGCAGAGTGGGCAGCCCCTGTGTGAAGGAGCTGTCTTAATCCATGTGTTTAGCAAGCACCATCTGTTCCTTTTATTCAGATGGGAGTAGAAATATTTGGTTGATTAGGAGAGGATCTGGGAAGGATAGCCGCGCGGTTACCAATGGTTACAAAGGACACACATGTTCGATTCTGTCAACTGGTGTCTTGGAGAGCAGACAAGGGACAGATACCACATATACAAGTGTTCAAAACAATGAAAGGCTGGAGGAACATTTAAGAAGTTACACAGCAATGCAATGATAAGATGCTACAGTATCCAAACCAGGCTGTAACACTCATCACTAGCTGTATTTAAAGGACAGGTATTGAAGACTTTCCAATGTACCCTCAGGAAAGAAAACAAACAAACAAAAAAACAAAACAAGTAAGACACTTTTTAAATGTTTAAAAAGTAGGAATGTGATAATATATGAAAACATTTTGGCCACATCCTTCCATTATGCTAAAATACCCAATTGTGACTCAGTATCAGAGTTTAATTAGTTTGATTAAGGGCCAGAATTTCCAATTTTCAATCAATTAATTAATTAGAAACATTTTAATGTTTTAAAAAACAAATGCAAATAATAATATTTTCTATTATGTGTACTAAAATCCCAAGCGGCATCATTTGTAGTTGCTGTTTCTTGTACACGCGTAAATCTGATGCACAACATCCCAGTAACATCATAGCTGTTGGTGCATTGGGAATATTCACGCTTAAAAACCATCAGGGCTCGAACCGAAAAAATAAAACAAGTACTGCAGCGAGGTATACTTTCCGAATACCTCAAATGAGTATGAGAATCTAAACTATGGCGGAAGTGTATCAGCAGTAATAAGTGCTATATATTTGAACAGCGCTCACAGCTTGGAAGGAATTAGAACAAGGAACATGGATTCTTTGATTAATGAAAGTTGGCATACAACTACTTTAGTCAATCAATATTTTCACTTGTTTTGCCAGTTTCAGTAAATAAGCTTTTTTGCCGTGTCATCTTTATATACCAGGGAAAAGGGAATTCACCACCTGCACCTTAAAAGTTCTTAAAGTATTCAAATTGTTATAAACAAACTAAAGCACAAAATGCTACCTTTCCATTAATCCTGCCGTGCAATATGTCTTGGCTCTTCATAATAAAAGGCTGAATTTATTTTCTGCTCTTAGTTCTCTGGGTCATCTAGACTTTCTGACCAAAGTCTGACAAAACCCTGTTTTGACGGGCTTGATTATATTAGCGGTATTCTTTTTTTTTTTTTTTTACCCTTTCCTTTTTAATTCCACAATAATATTGCACGTCAAACAATGACCTTTGTTAATTTTTAGATTTATAAAATAAATCTTTTTACTGAGAGACTTATGTTTAAAAGCTAAAAAGTGCATTGCTTTAGTAAAACCAATAGTAACCTACTTGTTTTTAAGTGTGGCTGTACGGTACAGCAATAAATCGTAGAGGGTAGCACTGTTGCCTTGCAGCAAGAAGGTCCTGGGTTCGATTCCAGGTCTGGGGTCTTTCTGCATGAAGTTTGCACATTCTTCATGTGCATACTTGGGTTCTCTCTGGGTACTCCTGCTTCCTCCCACAGCCCAAAAACTTGACTGTTAGGTTACTTTACTTCTCTAAAATGTCCTTAGATATGAGTGTGTGTGTGCTGCCCTGCGATAGACTGGTGATCTGTCCAGGGTATGCCCTGCCTCTTGCCCATAGAGTGCCGGAGATAGGCACCAGTCCCACCACAACCCTTACAAGTACTAAGCGAGAGAAAATGGATGGATTTTTTCAAGTTAAACAAAATAAATGCCCTTATCAAGAAGCCACTATATTGCTATAAAAGTATTGCCTTCTATGAATTAAGCAATTACAGTAAGTGTTGCACATATTTTCATTTCATGTATTAATTCTATTTTTCAGGTAGTACATCTTGAGTCCAAAATATACAATAAAACTAGGGTGATCTAATCATTTTGCTACATGACAGATTTTATACATTCACACTGCGTTGTCTTATCAGATCCGTTTGGTAACATGTTGTGCTGTTGTTTACTCCCTGTCACCAGGTGCAGATCTGGGTGGTCTGATGGACCTGGAGTCTTTGTACCGTGGTGTGCAGCAAAGCATTAACAACACACGTGCTTCAAGAGTGCGCCGGCAGAGTCTGGACAGAGCCTACAACATTGAAGTGCTGCTGGGAGTCGACGACTCTGTGGTCCAGTTTCATGGGAAGGAGCATGTCCAAAAGTACCTGCTGACACTCATGAATATTGTAAGTATCTTTGTCTTGTGTCTCGCTTTGCTGCTTTCTTAAATGTACACCTGTTCTTTGCTTTACATTTAATTAAAATACAATATTGTTCCATTTGAATGGAATAGAAAGTCACAGAGAGGTCAAAGACACACTCACAGGCACACATCCACAATGGGGATTCAATCTCCCCTTCTACATTTGAAAGGATTACTAGCAATCAGCTACAGGTAATCCTTTCTTCTCTGTCTAAATATGGTGAGATTTCATTTGCGTGTGTGTGGGGCAGGGGAGAGGTTTGTCTGAGTCTCTGTGTGAGACTGTAAGGTGCTCTGTCGATGCTAAAGGGGCTTCCACATATCTTTTCATCAGTTTTTGTATCATGTCATCATTAGATGTGTGTGTGGTAATGGTGGAAAGTGGAGGTTGGGGGCGCACACGTGTGCCTAAGTCTACTGTGAGAGAGAAAGATGCAGAAACAGCAGGTAGTCTGCTCTGGGCCACAACAACACTTAGCACTCACACTCCCAGGTGTTGTTAAAAGTGTGTGAGATTGTGTATTGTACTGCACACTCCACACTTTAATCTTTACAAATTAAACCTGTGGTGAGAGTGGTGTTTGCATGCATCCATTTATGCATGTATGAGTTTGGGCGAGTGCCGCTGTTTGCTTTTGCCTGAACCGCGACCCCACTGCTACAGGAACCAGCCTCCGACTGTTAAGCAGGTGCAAGCGAAGAGCTGCAAATCCTACCACACCTCTTTGTCTCAGTTCAGCTCTTGGGAAAGAACAAGAGCTGCTGTTGCTTCCTGCCTCCCCTTTTTAGATATTTGTTAGACAATAGGCAAGGGGAATACACAGCCCTGTCGCAGCCCCACTTTAATCTGCAGGGAAGAGATGGGGAGAGAATGGTGGTGGGGGAGTATTTTAAAGAGCGTGTTCAGAATAAATTACTGACAGCCAGATAAACAGAAATAAATAAATAAGGGCTTCCTCCCACGCGTGGCATCTGGGCGACTTTCTTCTTGAAAGTTTGCTTTGCTCACTTCAGGATGGGTGTGCAGTGTCTGACTCTCTCTGTCTCTCTGTCGTTCTCTTACTCTCTCTGGCTGTCAACAGCGTGCTTGGGTAGTTTTATGGCAACAAATCATGAGGCAAAAAAAAGAAACTTTTGAAATATAAAGCAAGAGGTAGCAAAGGTTTATAAGAAAACAGTTTATAAGATAAAGAAAACTTTTTAAGATAAAGATAACATTTTAGAAATTACATCTTTTAAGAAAGTAATTTAATCCCTCAAAGATAATAAGTTTGTGGTGAATATCCCTTCGCTTAACTTTTTAAAACGTTTGTATGCATTATGGATTAGCTGCAGTGTAGATTTCGTCAACAAAGACAAAATTATTTTGTTGACGCTGCATTTTTTTCCTACAATAATATAACAAAATGGGAACTGACAAGCTTAACATGGATCTTTGAGGACGAAAACATGACGAGTTATGGGTGCGGATCTTCATTGACCGGAAGAGTGTCAGGAAGCACTAAACCTTGGACCCAATATTCAACAGACAGAGCTGGAAGAGTTTAACAGACTTTATTTAACAAGCAGTGTGAAACGGCGCATCAGCAGGGGCGGATTACACGGATCCTCTGTGGAAACAGAAACTCAGGTCAGTGACTAAGAATGGATGGCTGGAAGCAGTTAAGAGCTAAAGTCACTGACCTGGTTCAAAGTTCAGCCCGATCACAGAAGGAGGGGAGGAATCCGCAAAGGAGACGGTCCTTCGCCGCAGGCGGGAGCGGCCCCCGAAGCGCAGTGAGGAGAGCGGCGCTGAAGCCAAATGGCGCCGAGGAGCAGGTGTTGCCAGAAGGGGAGATCCAAGCCGAAGTCAAAACAGAACCAAGTTCGTTTACCAGGAGATCTGAAAGCTGATGAGGTACCGATGAGGGAGTCCAAGCCGTGGTCAGGAAAACAGTCCAGGTTCGGTAAGCCAGTTGCATCCAATACACAGTCCAGAGCCGATCAGCCTAATTGAGCAGACAGGGGCGAAGCAAAACTCGGGATCCACAAGACAGAAACAGGTCACCAACAGAATAATCAGAAAAGTAGTTTAAACGCTAGAGTTACTCTCATCAAAACAGCTAGAATACACTGGCACTGGAAGCTTGAAACCAAACAGTATATATAGGGGCTGGAACCAGCTTGAAGGGATAAGAAATGATGAGAGAACAGGCAGAGCTAAACAGGTGGGTGGAATAAGCAATCAAGCCACCAGTGCCAGGACCATGACAAAGAGACTGGATTAAAAACTTGATGCGTAGTTTAAATAAAGTTCCGATGTTGAGAGGACCGTGCCAACCAGCGGAGCTCTGAAGTTAAATGCAGCCTGGTCTAATGTTAGCCCGTCTGCAGCATCCCTCTCTAGGCATAGCCTTGTCTGAAGTACGGCTGTCTCTGATGGCGTGTTTTTTTTTTGTTTTATTTGGCAAAACATTTCTTTGATTTGTGTTTATCTGAATGTGTTAATCGTTATTCCCACACTAAATGAAAAAAATCATGATTTAGGACTGTAATTCAAGCGCCTGTTGTAACACCGGGAAGACCTCCTTTCTGCTACTTTATGCCACCAACTTCAGTGCATAGTAGTAAGACTGAGAGCTTGGAGGGACAGATGTGCAATGTATAAATCCCACACACGTTCATTCAAAATGTGTCTGATGCACGCTCAACAAAAGATAGACAAACTTTGCTCTGCCAGCTGTGCTTGTGCAGGAATCTGTCTTTGCCCACACTTAGCTCAGAGTTTGCGCTTGAACTCCACACTGCCCTCGCTACTTATTAAATATATGTGGCAGGTAAACACCTTCTGCCAAGTGTAAAAAATATTTTATCTGACTATCAGAATTTAATTTTTTTCAGTTTAAAAGAAGTGATGATAAACTTTCTTTCAGTTTTACCTAAGGAATATCCCTGAAGGACTAATCCCAATTATATCCCATTATATCCAGATTATTTTGCTTCTTATTGTTTATTTTTGGACAAACCCACAAATACCCACATATATCTTCTTGAAAATTTTGCCTTTCAAAGTTCCTGTTTCTATCTATTTAAAGGCACACTATGCAACATTTTTCAGTTAATTAATGTGTTCCATAACGTTTTGGATGATTAAATGAGTCATTTCAGGTTGAACAAAGGTATTCTCGGCCGCCCTGGTGGTCTGTGAGGGAAATACCGCACTTGCAATTGCAGGAGCACCGACCCGCACCCACAGGCTCAGAAGTCTCACGAGAGTCGGTCTTGCTTTACGGGGAGAACTGCTACACGCTCCCAGTTAAAAGCATGCTCGTTGCTAGCACAGTGGCGATCTTTGTGCAGCGCTGCTTTCACACCGGACGCAGCAAAAGCAGCAAAATCCCGTCTGCTGCTTCATTTTTACTGCTTGTACCAGTTAGTTCTGACGCGCGGCTGAAGCAGCTTTGCTGCTCTGGCTGCGCGGTGCAAAAGTGTGTCTGACGCGCGTTGGGCGGAGCTTCACTATCCTTTCTCTGCCTTGCAGCTATATTTGCTGTGATCAGTGGGAATAAAGTAGTTTTAATATGTTTTTAAGTGAGAAAATACACCTGAAAACGTAATCAGTGCAGTCAGTTCATTCTGATTATAATCCTGCCTTCCAATATTTTTTCTGTCGGAGCCGCTCAGACCCCCACATACCAGCGGTGCGCCGAAGGTAGGAATCCCTTCATCAGCAGCCTCTGGCCGGGTCGCCTCCTCGCGGTTCACCGCGGCAGCTGGTAGGTGTTTTTCATCTAAATAATCCAAACTGCAGGCAGCAGGATAATAAAAGCGAACGTAGCATTAAACGCGCCCGACGCGCTGCTTCAGCTGCTCAGACGCGCTGCGGGACCTTTTGCTGCGCCTTGACGCGCTGCTTCAGCTGCTCAGATGCACTGCGCCTGCTGCTCAAAACGCGCCGCGGGACCTTTTGCTGCGCCTTGACGCGCGTCAACCATTGACTTTACATGTAAACTCGCTGCTTCTGTCGCGCCAGTTGCGTCCAGTGTGTGCATTTGTTGCGTTCGCCTGTCTGCTAAGCTGAAAACAACCACGCCTGGCTTGACGGAGAAACCAGGAGAACAGCTGTGCATATTTACGACAGTGCACTTTTACTTTCGCCCTCTTGGGGGAGCCTCGCTGGAAAATCAACACTGGTTGCATAGTGTACCTTTAAATATGATGTAAATGTTTTCTATGTGTATCTGGCTGCCAGGTGCGCAGCATTTAACTTAACTATTTAGAAGAAAAGCAGTAACCTATGTGGGACCTCTAAGTCCATTTGCCTCGTTTAGTTGAAACCAATGCCTAAAAAATGTCATGACGTTTTTAAGATATCTTACCCACATGCAGAAAACCGCTCAGAGAAACCAGAGTAAAAGTTTAACAGGTTTATTGAGGAGTTGAAATGGGTTGGATTCTGGGGAACTTAGAGAGCTGGTGAACCGGAACTGAAAGTGAGAAAGGAAGTTCACAGAGGTTAGTTCAGGGTCCGTGGAAACTTTGAACAACATCTAGCAAAAAACAGAGATAATCGGGACTCACGATAGCGGAGAAAGGTTTCTTTCCTGAATCCAGTCTGTGTGTGTTTTTCCAGAGATAGAGGGGCTCGGTGGAGGGCGGACAGGTTTTGGTTTGGTTGGTTCCTGAGGAGCAATGGAGCGGCTGGCACTTAGATTTCCTGGAGAACTTGAACGGGACGGGTGGAGATTAATCCCCCTACTCAGTGTGAGGCTCAAACAATCCTTCCAGGGGGAGAAGACCAAACATTCAGTATGCAAAATGACTTCCTGCTATATAAATGCTAAAAGTCTGAGTTACCTCATCATCTTTGTAGTAGCATCTTAGGCTACGTTCAGACTGCAGCCTGAAGTGACCTAAATCCCAATTTTTTTGCCCATATGCGACCTGTATCTAATCTTTTCATGACAGTCTGAACAATACAGATACAAGTTTTTCAAATACAAC